GGCACCATCTTCCACTCCTGCAATGGCTGCGACTCCTGTCAGTATAGATCTTTGCAGACCTGCCCAGCCTTTGTCCTTTCACATTTGTGCTTTGCAAAGGAGGTAAGTATAATTGTCCCAGTTTTGCTGATGGGGAAACTGAGGCACAGAGCAATGAAGTGATTTGCTCAAAGTCACTCATCAGACCAATAACAGAGTAAGCAAAACCAGGTTCCTCTGGCCAGTGCTCAGCCTAATAATTGTGTAATGCACTGCAACGCTGGTGCAGTGACTCACCGTGCTTATTAGGAAGGGTCTCCAAGCTTTGGAAGGTGCAGTGGCTGCCTGTGGAAATCAGGGTATTGGCTATAAAGCACGAACTAGCCTGGTTTCACTTGCTTCAGAGACTATTGCTCAGCTCCTGACTGAGGTGACAGCTGACATCAGCTGTGCTCAAACTGAGACCTCCCTCCATTTAATCAAGAAGGTTGCTCCTTCTGGGACATTCTCCATAGATGCCCATCAGCTGTGCAGTTCCCCTGCCCCTTCTTGGTCTACTTGGTCCCAGACTTTCTAATCCCCTGGGAAGACTCCAGCATCCATATTTCTCCCATAGGAGAAATTTGGAGGGGGGCTGTGAACTGGACCACAGTAAGGAGGGGAAGGCTAGTGCTTTGGGCTGGAGGGTGAGTACACTGTGTGCAACATGAATTATATAGTGTGTGATGCAATTAATGTCATGGAGCCCAGAGCTTTGGAGCATGGGCATGTTTTGCCATTTCAAACTGAAGTAAAGAGATTTTTGTGGCGGTATGTACCTCTTTATCACCAGATAGGGAATGAGGCCCATTGACACTTGTGGAAGTGCAGAATCGGCAACTGAAGCTTCAGCAAGCTTCAACATCCCCTGCTCTCCTGTTTCCACACTACCCACCTTACCGCACCTAGTGGTCAACTAAGTGCTGATTTGTCTTTGTCATTATAAAAATGGCCCCAATGCCTAAGTGCTGCCCATACCATTCTTCTGATACTGGATTCAGTGTCCTGCTTTCAGCTTTTCTTTGCTTTGCTTTGCTTAAGGGCAAGCTGTTATCACTGAACAATGCCAAGACTAGCATGCAGGCAGCAACTCATTCAAAAACTCGACATATATTTTATAGGCCTTAGACTGTTGGAGGGAGAAAGGGAGCTTTTGTGCTTTGTGCATGCAAACCACCAATGAAACATAATCAGAAAATGGATGATTAGAAAACTCCTCTTACTTAGTTACCTTTCTAGAGCAGGGTTTCTGGGCAAGGATCTACAAACTTTCTACCATTTCTATTTCAGGTGTGTTTAAACATAGCATAAGCACCCTAGATAGAGGAACAGAACAATTACTATCTCCCCTAAACACCCCCTCCCCCCATGTTATAGCCCTATCCGGCCTTTGTAGGCATGAATGACTGATTAGGGCATGTTTTGTATGATCCCAAGTGCTCTCAAAACACTTTGACTTCAGTAGGAGTTGAGAGGACTCAGAACCTTGGAGGAGCAGGGTAAAGGTGGGCTGTTTTCAGTATTTTGTAGTGCAGTGATTCAGAAGCTCTAAATATTTTTAATGGTTACATTTTTTTTAAATATGACCTATCATATTTGTTAAAATAGAGTGATGTCTGGTGCTGTATTTTGTACGCGGGCTGCATAAATACACAACTACTTATTTGGTGCACTTTGGCATATTATCCATTCATTTTTTTTTCTATTCAAGAATGAGCTGACATGTGGCATTTGAATGTTCCTTGTTGCAAAATGTACAGACTATTTATCTTAAGGCCGGGAGAGGTCTGGGGAAAGCACATCTCTTAGGGAACCAAGGCATTGGACATGTAAATTTTTGCATTTGTATGTGGTTATTTTAAAAGCCAGCAGATTTGAGTGGGTTTAGGGGTAGCTCTATTATTGGATTTGCTGTTGTGCTTGGCAGAGCAATGGGCAGGGGAATTCAAAGAGAAATGAAAATTGAACTTGGAGGAAAAAGGCATCTAATCAACACAGCCTCTCATGGGTACATATTCTTGTTATTCCACTTGCTGTTTAGCTAGAGTCACTGGATTCATACTTGACCTGCATCCTTGGATTTGGACATCCCTGCACTTTGAGGGTATTCAAAAGCTGAAGCCCAATTTGAACTCTACAGATGGACTCTGCCATTGCCATAGTTAAAGTAAACTCCAGAGCCAGAACTTTGGGGTGTTCCCAATCCTGAGTAGGACTTCCAGCCTGGGCTTATTTCCAATTTTAACTATTTTTTCCCTTTCTGTGAGGATGGGCTTGCTGCTTAAACCCCACCAAAACTACAACTAAGAGGGAGAGAGTTTTAAAATCTTCTAAAGACTTTGCTTCACGTTGTTCTACTTACATTCTTGAACTGTTCAGTGCTTGAGATATGCACTGAGAATGCCAGCTTCTTTGGATCAGGGCCGTAGTGGGAGTAAGGAAGCATTAACGAGTTTAGATGAGGAATGTGCTCACCCACCTAGTGATAGTTAGTTTGGTAGACTTGGGCAGAAAAAAATAATCTCTCAACAAGAGAGGGAGTCAGCTTCCTTGCTCATGGGGATTACTTTTGTGTGCTCACAATGTGCATTAGTATCTTTTAAAGCCTAAATAAAGATGAGATTTGTCAATCCAGGAGCAAGACAGTAGCTTGTCTGATGCTAAACTTTAACATATCCCCACAAGCAACAGTTTAGAGGCAGCAACAGGTTAGAGAGACACATGGAGTTGAGCCAAGGCTGAGTAGCGGTTCTTTTAGATGGAGCTTTTGATTCTAGGAGATCAGACTAAATGAGCAGGGAGGATCCCGCATCTCCCCAGCATGAAATCAACTTTGGAAACACCAGATTTAGGACAGGGAGCCTGATCACACAGTGAGGTGTTTGGTGCAGTCGGGTCTGTTCAGTTGCCATATGTTTCTACAGCCTTGTCGAATAATGGATTTTTTTTAATTTGGCTTTTTCTATGGAAAAATCCTTTAGGATTAATTGGAGAATGTGCTTTTTTCAATGAGTTTATAAACCTTTGAACACAATAGAAAATGTTCTTCTATATGATTCTTTTAAATAAGTAAAAAAAAATCTCATTCTCCATGAAATTCTCTAGCATAACTTCTAGAAACCTCTATAAAATGTCTATAGCACCCTACAGGTTCCATACCTATTAACTTCTATAAGATGTTTCCATGAGGGTTTTGAAGTGCCATACATCCCTCCTAGGAATGGAGAGTGAAAGCAGATGTTTCAGCCTTTACTCTGTGTGATTATAAGAGCTGACATATTAATCCCCACCGCACAATTTAGAGGCACTCGTAGCCAACCCATAAAGCACTGAAACTTCCTCAGAGATCATAAAAACCATCTTGCTGCTGTCTGACTACTTATGTGAGCCCAAGTATTATATCCTTCCTTTGCAAGAAAGAACATTTTTTACATTTCTTTTTAGCAGTATATTTAGTCCTTCTTGCTGTTCAGTGGAATATAGGTCAGGAAATGTTTGAGAACCATAGAGTTGTATGTTTTAGACAGTCTAGGCATTCAGCAAGTATGCAAATAATTGAAATGTAATGAAGGGATGGAAGGAACGATGTATCTGTAGGAATACCTAAATGGAAAGTGCAAACCAAAACAGGCCCTCATTTTCTAAACCCTTTTATTTTTGTTTTTTTCTTGCAGTGAGCACATCTGTAAAGCAGCAGTATCATGACAATATCCGCTGGATTCAGGAAGCTGGGAGGCACAACTTGGTAAATGCACATTCTCCTTCTTCACTCATGACCTTACACCTTCTGCTCTGTCATTCAGAAGGTTTCATAGTTTCATAGTTGGTCGGGTCAGAAGGGACCTGAGCAGATCATCAAGTCGGACCCCCTGCCATGGCAGGAAATAGTACTGGGGTCAAATGAACCCAGCAAGGTGATTGTCTAGCCTCCTCTTAAAGACCCCCAGGGTAGGAGCCAGCACCACTTCACTTGGGAGTTGGTTCCAGATCCTAGCCGCCCTGATCATGAAGTAGCGCCTCCTGATGTCTAGTCTGAATTTACCCTCTGCCAGCTTGTGACCGTTATTCCTGGTCACTCCTGGTAGTGCTTGGGGGAACAGGGACTCCCCCAATGCCTGCTGGTCCCCTCTGACTAGTTTGTAACAGGCCACTAGATCCCCCCTCAGCCTTCTCTTGTGGAG